TAAGATTAGGCCCTCCCGTAAGTAGCTATAGAAGGCTACTTAGTTTTAGAGGTTTACTACTATATAAGATAACAGGAGTATAAGAGTATATTTTATTATTATTGTAAGTAAATATATCTATAAGGATATAAGTATAGTAAAATATAGCAGAAAGTACCTGTAAGGAGCCGAACATGTAAGGTAAAGGATAGTAAAGTATACCTAGGATCACATCCCTAGGCTTAGAAGCTTTATTATATTACTACTAAGGACTCCTAGGAGACTAAAGATTAAATACTACTAGTTAATTTCTTAAATATAGTTATTCGCTAGATAAGATAGTTAGTAATATAGGAGATCTTCTCTAATACTAGTAGAACCCTCTCTATTTCCTATAGCCCTATTAGGTATTTTATATATATTAATATATCTATTTTATAAAGCTATAGATAGCGCTAGTAGTTTTATAGATAGATATATTAATATAGTCAAGGATAGCTTTAGCTACTCTCGCTATCTCCTCTATACTTCTAAATTAGATATAGTTATAGGTTTATGAGTCTTACTAATAGTTTTACTAGTAGTTCTATATATATAGCCTAGTCGAAGGTAGAAAATTCTATCTCAATAGGTATATATATAGTAGATTAGGCGTACTCGTAATCGCTATCGCTACTACTAATATTAGACTAGTATTAAACAATAGCGCTTAGAGTTAATTAAAATTTAAACTAGGTCTTAGGGTCCTAGGACCTCTAGTTATCGAAATATTGTAAGAAATCGATTTCGCTAAAAGATAGTTATTTTTCTATAAAGTTTCCATTTTTAAATATTATATAAAATAATAGTAAATAGCTATTAGTATTTATTATTTTAACTATAGTAATCTATTTATAATTATCTAATTAAAAAAGCATTTATTAATTATAATATTTAGTCTCTATAACTATTTATTATAGAGATATAAGATCTATAGTAAAGCTAATTTTATTAAAGTTATAGATATCCCCTAGTTAGATATTTTTCTTATTAATAATATATTAGATAGTTATAAACTAGGCTTATAATAATTTTAGATCTTTATTTTAGATATATTTATAATTATAATATTATAAAAAAATTAAATAAAGTTTATTTTATTAGTTAATAAAGCTTAATAGTTAATTCTTATTTACTATAGCTAGAGGATTATTACTATATATAGCCAATAGAATATTAGCTATTCTTTATATAGTAAAAAGCTTAGATACTACTCTATATAAATCTATAAAGAGTATCTATTTAGTAAATAAATCCTTTTCTAATTAGATTAACCTATAGCTTAATAGATACTTCTAAATATATAACATTTACCTCTAGATATAGAGTATTAAGAGTAATATTTTATATAGCTTTACTATAATATAAAGAGAGTTAATATAGCTATTTTTAATATTATTAAAAGCTAATAAGACCTTATCTTTCTAATTAGCTAATTTCTGTACTAATTTAGTATATCCTAGTAATATAATAGATTATTAAATTAGATAGGTAGTTAGGAAGATATATTTTTAGATAGAATATCTAGGATAGTTAGATATCTAGATTAGCTAGGAATTATATTATAGTTAGACTATCTTTGATTATTATTTAATTTATATTTTACTTTTATTAATAAAAAGTTAAGATTAATATTAATTTACTATAATAAAAATTAAAATCTAAAATAATTATAACGATTTTTTAGTATATTAATTAAAATAATATATATTATTTAATTTAGTAAATCTATTAATAATAATATTTTTATATTCTCTAGTTATATTATTACTTTTAAGTCTATACACTCCTTTTTAAATATAGATAAAAATTTAGTAAAAGATTATTCTAGTCTTTACTCTATTTTCTAAAGATATTTTATATCTTTTTTTAGATTTAGATTACTATATATATTATTTAGATATTTAATTAGATTTTAAGGGTTTTTATTATATTATATAAAAATAATAGTATTTATATTTATATTTCTTTCTAATTATAAATAAATATAGAGAAGATATATCTAGGTATTTCTTATTATTTCTATATTTATAATTAATTTATTCTTAATAGCTAGTTAGAAGACTAGCTAGTCTCTATAGTTTTTTTAAAGATTAAAAGATATAGTAAATATAGCTATAGCTAGTATATTAGCTTTAATTATAGTAATTTAAGAAAAAGATTCTAGGGTATTATCTCCTAACCTACTATTCTTACTAATATAGGTATTTAGATATAAAAATAGCTATTTAGATAGATATCTATAAAGATAGGTCTTTAATTATTTAGAAATATATATATATCTATTTACTTTTTATATTTATTTAACTAGTTAACTAGAGCTATATTCTAATAAATAAAAGATATATTCTACTCTATAAGTATTTATATCTATTTAGATAGTCTAGTATGGCTTATATCACCTATAGTTTATAAGGAATAGCCTAAGTCCCTATATATCTAACTTATTAAGGGCTTCTAACTACTCTAGAACTCCTAGAGATTTTCACTACTTATAATTAGAAAGAAATATAAACAAAGATACTAGTATATTTATATACTATTAATAATATAATAGAAAATCTTAGGATTTAATTAGATATCTAAAGAAATCTAAATCTAAAAGAAAAATAATATAATACTTTTAAAAGATAAAAGACTAAAATAAAAATAGTATTTTACTAACTTTCTATCTATATTTAAAAAAGAATTTATAGATTTAGGAGTAATAATATAGCTAAAGAATATAAAAAATATTAACTCCTAGTAATTTATTTAATCTTACTATATATATTATACTAGTATACTAAAAAAGCCTTTTAATCTTTTTAGATATTATTTTCTTATTATAATAAATTAATATTAATCTTAATCTCTTATTAATAGAGATAAAATCTAGACTAAGCTATAACTAATAATAGTTAAATTACTTATAATTATTTATAGTTACTAATAATATAGACTAGATATCTATAACTAGAGTTAATAAGATATAATATCTAGAGAGAGATAGATTAAAATAAGATATATAGATTAATAATAATAAATATAAGTAATAATATAAGAAAAGCCTCTATTTCTACTATAATAAAAATTATTGAATCCTAATCTATTTTTATTTTTTAGCTATTAAACTAGATAATAGTTTTATATAGCTAAATTTATTATTAATAGGAATTAAAAAGAAACACCATTATTTATTAGATTAAAGAAATCTTATACTATAATATATAATAAAAATAAATTAAGTAAACTAGAACTACCTAAGAATAATATATTCGCTAAAAATAACTTAGAAAAAAAGTAGCTCTTACTCTTAGCTATAAATAAAAATAAAAAAGAGTTGAAAATTTAGTAATCAAAGAATTATTAGTATTTTATAAGAATACTAGAGTAAATAGAACTAAATTTCTATAAATCTTTATTAATAATAGTTATATCAGTTATATTACTATAAATAGATATAAAATCTATTAATCTTCTACATATCTATCTAAATATCTTTAGGCGACTAGATGATATAGTCTATAATCTTAGTAGGATTATATATAAAATATATTTTAATCTAGATATATAAAGATAAATAATTATATATATTTATATATAATATAGACTATTAGGATAATAAGATAATACTTGGTAATATATCGATAAAATATATAGATAATCATTATTTTATATAAAAAGGATATTTAGATAGATATATAGAAGATTAATAGATTTTATATCTATTTATAGTATATAGCTAATAATATAATAAGATAAAATAGTATTAAATAGCTATATATTAAGATAATTAAGAATATACTTAATAATATTAAATCTCTTAGATAACTAGAAATTAGAAAAATAATACTAATAGATATCGAATATTTTTATATACTAAGAAATATATAGATCTAAAAAAGAAACTATCTAAATGCTATTAGAAATAGATAGATATATCTAAGTTAGAAACTTATTAACTAATTACTATATAATTAATTTAGAATTAACTATTAGATATCTTTTTAATATAATAAAAATAGATAGAAAGAATTATCTCTATATAGAGTTTTATATAAAATAAACAAAAAAGAATTATTGTATCTCTAAAAGATATTAATAGATCTATTAAATAAGAATTTTATCTATATTAGCTAATTATCTATTATTATCCTAATATTACTAATATAGAAACTAGAAAAAGAAGCCTATTTCTATATAGATTAGTATAGATTAAATAAGATAAATATAAGAAACTAATATTGTTTTCTTTAATTTAAAAGACTTTTTATAATATAGAAAATATTTATTAATTTACTAAACTAGATATACTTACTATCTTCTATAAGGTCTAAATTAATCTAGGGAAGAAATAGAAGACTATAGTTAATATATATTATAGCCTCTTTAAGTAGAATATAATCCTTTTTAAACCTATAGAAATATCTATTATTTTTTAATAGTTTATTAACTATATCTTTTAAGAATTCCTAGATAATTTATCTTTATCTATATTAATACTTTAAACAGAGATTATTAATAAAAAGCTATAAAATACTATAAAAACTATAAGATATAGAATTTTAGTACAATATTATTAGATTGGAATTCAAATAATGCTTAGTTAAATATCTTTATTTTATTATTTATATAGCTTGCTCGACGTACCGCTCTGCTGTGTGCAGTAGTAGGGACGGTGGGCCGCCTGCAACCTGGTATGTAAAACCGAAGCTTCCCTCATGCGAGCATATCTGATCTTGAAACAGGGCGTTTGGGCCACTGCCCGCGGGTCGCGGTAGTGGCAGTGGGAAACACTTCATCGATGCTTATGGTTTCGACGATCAAACGGCCGGCTCGTCTTGCTGAGCTACATACACTTACACTGATTCACCTGGAGTTATCAGCACCTCCACGGTTGTTGACCATGGCTTTCGCGTTCTCGACGATGATCCGTATGTGTGCCTCTTCCAACCTGACTATGTATTCAAAGTATAGCTGACAAGACGGTGTTGATAAGCATGTGCGGTAACGCCTATGGATGGCCTCGACAGTCCTGGCGCCTCGATCCAGCCCCGATCGCGAACCAGCATCACCGCCCGTATGACTCCCAACCGGTCGTATTCCAGCGAAGAGACCTTCTCGGCAACGGCACATGGTCTGAGGAAGATAGCGGCCCCGCTGGCATCTGCCACGCAGACCTCAGATCACTTGGCAATGGCAACCAGGATGCCTATCTTGATCTTGATTATGATAATCTGCTCCTTGTCGATATAGAAGGCAACCCTGTCGACGGTCGGATATGTAATGTCATCTACGAAGATGACGACCCGCACTCCGAACTGCGTCTCATGCTGAACGAGGAGGGACATGTCGTGGACATGTATATAGGCGACGCGGAGGCTGGTTCGTGGACAAGAGAGGCGCTCAAAAGTTCCAAGTCGGACACAGTGACTGTTGATCCCACTACCGTCACTGTCACGACGGGTGTTGCGGCGGGCAGCGAGTCTCGACCTACGTTCCCTGCCAGTACGATTAGCGTGCAGACGGCATCGGGAACTATGGTGACACCGGCGCCGTATGTATACGGTCTTTGATAGTATTAAACATGTTAATAATAAACGAAACTTTGGAAGCTATAGGGTTAGAATTATATTATTTAATAGTATAATAGGCTCTTAGCTAGGTTAGAGATATATAAAGAAAATAGAAGGGTCGAGACTAAATTTGTAAATAAATCATAATTGGGTAGGAAAATAGCTATCTTTATAACTGATTTCTTATAGAATTATATACCCCTCCTCGGCCCTAGTACTCTATTTCCGTAGAATAGAGCTTAGAAATCCTCTCCGGATAGAAGGTAGGGTAGTACTAGAATATCTACTATATAGGTAGAATATAATAATCCTCCTAACGGTTAGACTTAGTATCTTTAAAAGTATTAATAGTACCTTCTACCCTATCTGTCTTAATAGACTAGATACCTCTTTTAACTAGCTTATACTAATAATCTAATAAACACTCTAGGCGCTAGGAGCGGTAGTAATTACTACTAAAAGGCTTATATCTATACTAAAAGAGCTCTAAAAAGCGTCCCCTATTAATAAGGGACCTATCGCTTTTTTATACGCCTACGCTCTTATCCTAATTATTATTAAAAGTAAATAGAAGTAATAGCTAAAATCCCTCCTCTACTATATTAAGGCCGTTTCTCTCTACTACTTTAGTATATAGGCCCCTAGAGACATAAGATAGGGTATATATTTTAGTAGATATTAAATAGAAATCTAACTATAAAAATAGAGATATTATTCTTATAAGCTAGATAGGACGCTAGTCTCCTATATTGGTAGGGAAAAGATATATTAGTAGTATAGTATACTCAGAGTAAGGTAAGATACTAAATAGCTATATTACTATAAATCTAGCTAAGTTAGCTAGGGGTAGAAGAAGGCCCGGAGCGATATAGCAGAACTAAGGCTACCTTATATATATTAGAAACGAACGTATAAAGGAAGGATTAGGTACTAAAGTAGTATCTAGGATACTTAATATAACTAGCGGCTCTAAATTATCTATATTAGTCCTAGTTAGTAGTAGGTTTAATGGCTATAAGATATATACTATAATAGCCTAATATAGCCGATCCTATTTAGCGATATATATAGTAACCTAGGTATCGCTATAAGGTTATTACTCCTAGGGCCTAACCTTCTTATAGCTAAATAGGGCTAGCTCTCTATAAGGTGAAGCTATAACTTTTCTAATATAAATAAGATTAATCTAGTTAGTAAGTAGTATCTCTAGTAGGTTCTAAATATTTTTACTACCCTCTACTAGAAACCTAATATTATATTTATTAAGATATATAAAGCTTATAACTTAGTAAAGGCCTTAGTAGTAGATAATACCACTATTACTATCTATAGCCGATAAGCCTTTTTTAATAGTATATAAGTATACTAGGCTATTAATAGGCTAATCTTAAAGATTAGCTATATCTTCCTTAAAAAGCCTTAATAGCCTATCGATACCCTATATAAAAACTAAGAACAGGATATATTTATAAGGATTATTAAAAGGAAAAAGGGGTATAATAGCAATATTAAGGAATACTACTAGTAATAAATAAAGCTTTAGATAATAAGCCTCGGCTTTATCTTTATTACTAAAGCCTATAAAAAAGTTACTATTAGTATCTAGAGTTTCTAGTAAGCGGCCTTTAGCGAGCTAGATATATTAGATTAGGTAGTTATATAGAGCTATATATCGTATATAGTCTATTCCTTCGAGATCATCTCGTAGAGGGTTATTTAGCCTAATAAATAGGCTAGTAATATCCGGAAATTAAGAAAAATCTATTAAAATAAGGATAGAGTATTTATTAAAGAGGTATAACTAGAGGGGAATAAATCTTATATAGTAAGCCCCGTAAAGACCTAGTTTAAAAATAGTAAGTAGGCGGTTAAGATAGGTAATAAACTAGCTATTATTCTAAGGTTTCTAACCATCTCTCTAACTATCTTTAAACGTTACTAAGTTAAACTAATTACTCCTCTTCTCTTAGGCTTACCTATAGGGGAGATCTATATATATCTTAAGTATATTCCGTAATCGTACCGTTACCTAAGGCCTCTAGGGCTTATACGGGCTCGGATCTATAGGTATACTTATAAATATCATCCTGGTTACAAGTCTAGATAGAAGGCCTTCATCGCCTCCTACTACGTCTTAATATACCCGCCCCGTAACCCTCGAACCGCCTAGTATAGTCCTCGGCAAACCGCTACGCCCGTTATACCTTAATCTACTAGTATCTCGTAAAGTACTCTTACTATTTCGATATAGTGTTTATCTGAGACTTCCTAGAGCGTTCTAATAATATATCGGAAACCGGCAAGTTGAAGGGCGCTAACAAGATGAATTCCCTTGTCTACGAGAGTGTCCTTCTACTAATTTCTTAGCTAAATCTATTTATTTTATTAAAGAATCTAAATAGCTAAAAGAATTTTATAAATATAATCTTTACTAAAAATTAATTATTGTACTCTAGAACTAGATTAAAATTATAGCTAATAATAATAGGATTAAACTTAATAAATTTATTATAATATATTAGATTAGTTTATAGCTAAATATGTAATAAATAGCCTTATAAACTAGAGACTATATATTAGATACTATTAGATTAATATCTTTAATATAGATATAGTTCTCTATAACTATTCTATAATATAATTCTTTCTTAGATATTATCTCTACTAAATAAATAATACTTACAAAAAAAAGCTATTATTTAATCTATAAATAAGACTATATCTTATATAATTATCTTAACTAAAAGATCTTAAATATTAAAGCTATAATTATTATTACTTTAAGTAATAATCTTACTATAATATAAAAGAAATAGGATAATATAGAATTAGGAAAAGCCTAAGTCTAAGAGAAATCTCTTTTTTAGATAGAAGATATCTTTATTATTTACTAGATTTAATTAAATTAATTAGATAAAATAATCTTATATTTAAAATTTAATTAGCTCCTAATAGACTCTTAGTTAATATCTTACTATTTATAGATACTAAAATAGATAGTTTTATATTTATTAATATATATCTACCTATTTTACTAGATAAATAGTTTAGGCTATATAGTATTTAATTACTATAAAATACTTAATTAAAAGATTTAATAGAAAAATATCTTAGCTAATTATCTATATAATAGAGTTTATATTTTATATTAATAGCTAATAGTAGCTATATATACTAATATTAGTAACTAATCTTAGCTAGTATAATATTATTAATATATAAAAAAAAGATAAGTTCTTTGAATAAGAAAACTACTAATATCCTATCCTATAAAAAATACTATATCTATAATTGAAATCTTTAATAGAGTCTAAAAAAGATAAACTAGATACTATAAAATAATATACTAATCTAATAAAGCCTAATTAAGCTTAAAACTAGTTAGCCTATAAGGATACTATTAATAATTAATATTATAATAATTAGTTTAGCTAGCTTCTACTTAAGATTTTTATTATATTACTTTACAAAATTAAAAATATTATGGCTAAAATATAATTAGAATTACTACTTACTAAATTAGAAATTAAAAAGGTACTATTATAGATATATAAAAAAGCAAGTTATAGTAAAGAAATATATCTTTAAAAATCTCGATGAAAGATTTATTACACTAAGATTAGCCCTATTTATATTATTAATCCTAATAGCTAGAAACCTAGAAAAAGCCTTTCTTTTATATAGATTACTAAAAACTAAATACTATTAAAAAAATCTATTATCCATTACCTTTAATTAATAATATTCTATAATATATAAAATAAAATTCTTTACTAAGCTAGATATTTAAATAAGATTTCTATTAAATTATAATAGCTCCTAAATCTAAAGATTTAATAATTTTATATATTTATTATAGTTTTTTTAAATATAAAATAATACTTTTTAGGATTATTAATAGACTATCTTCTAATATTATAGTATTCATTAATAATATCCTAACCTATAGTAAAATACTTAAAAAATATATTAAATATATTTAGAAAATAAGATTATAAACTAATCTTAAGAAATATAAACTCTATATCTAACTTAAAAGACTATTAATATTTATATACTATAATCCTAAAATATTTATCTAGATTAACATAGATATCTTTAATAAGATTATTAATATAGTTCTTTCTTGATAAATCTTAAATAGTCTTTAGTATCTAGTAATTTATTTCTCTAAGATTATAAAATGTATAGAATAATTATCTAAGATCTATAATAAAGAAATATAAGTAATTATTAGAATACTAAATAAGTAGAGATTTGAGTTTAAAAATCTATAAAAAAAATTTAATTCTAAATCTTTACTAATTATTAATTATCAGAATATTTTATAATATTAAAAAAGTTTAATATTAGATAGATTTACCAGAGTAAAACTTTTAATTTTAATTTTTTATTAATTATTAATTAGATAAATATAAGTTTTTTATAGTTATATTTTTCTAGAAAGATTTTATAATAATTAGTATTAAAATATAGATCTTTTTACTAGAAATATTTTAAAAACAAAATTTCTTTAATTTATAGCTATTACTATAGTCTTTATTATTCTCTCTATTGATACTAGTATTAATATTATTTATCAAATAAAATAAATAAATTAATAATACTAAAAACTAGATTAAAAATAAGAATAGATTTAGATTATAAAATTATATTAAAAAATTAAAGATAGACTATTACTCTATAATAATTAACTAATAGTATCCAATAATAGTAATCTCTAAACTAATTATTTAATAATATCTATTAATAATCTTTAATAGTCTATCCTAAGCTAAAAAAAACTAATAAATTTATATTATTACTAATAAAAATAAATAACTAATATAAAAAGATATATTTATAACTATTTAATTTATAAATAAATAGAATATTAGAGAGACTAACTATCTAGATTTCTCTATCTATTATAAATCCTTAATTATTTTAATAATATATATAATAGATTTCTAGTTATTTCTAAAAAATAAGAATAGCTATAATATAATTTTTATTATTAT